CTTAGCCGGAAGAAGTAGATCAATAAACAATAAAAAAATGAGCGAAATGCTATAAAACAAAAATAAATATATAATGAGCAAAAAATTGATATAAATAAATAAACAGCATTAATCAACTAGTGGTATACGTTCATTGAATTCTATCATAGATATAATTCTGGAAGGGGAGTAATGTGGTATAACTACCACTATAAATATTAAATACCAAATCACTAGTATATAAGATATGTTAACTTGATTCAATCTTGAAGTACCTTTAGATAGATGAAGATTGATATAGTCGATAATTAAAGTACCTCAGAGTAATAATAACTAAGTTAGAAGCTTGTAAAATTTCTAATTTATGTTAAGTATAATTCATGTATAAATATGAATTTTGCTTCCTTTTTTGGAAAATGTTTCCTTAACACAATTCGCTTGTCCTTTAACAAAAAAGTTTACTTTCTGGTACTTATTTGATCCGGAATTTCATATTCCACATTTTTTTTGTATCAAACATTTTGAATCAAAAACCGACCAAGACCAAATAGCTTTCAATATTTTGAAGTCGTTTTTCTGGCATAAAGAAAAACTTGCTAAGTTGAGAGAGACAAATATTTAATCCCTTTAACTAAATATAAAACTAAGAGATTAAAACAAATTCCATTTTTCTACAAATGACATTTTTACAATAAAATCGCGTAACAAACCTTTGGTAGAGGTAATTTTTGAGATGAGAGTTATTAAGTTCTAAATTTTTTGCGCAAGAGTCAAAGGAGGCTATACTACAGCGTTCAACACTTGGTTGAAATTAAAAGTTTGATGGATTAAAAGTTTCGGATGTATCCAGTGTCTTAAAGTTATTCAATGAGGTTTCTATGTGAAAAGCCTCTAATTAAAGTCTTAAATTCAGGATATTCACAGTTAAAGTATCGCCGTCTCTTAATTTTTAAATTAGAACACTGTATCAGGATGTGCTTCATGGTTAGTAGTTCTGTGCAACTGGTGCAAATAGGCCTCTGGTTCGTTAAGCGGAAGGTGTCTGTGTGTAATCTTGTATGACTAATGGGTAGTCTGTTTATAAGAATTTTTCTGAAGCTATTAAGATTATTAAAATGTACTAGTAATGGTTTTATTACACGTAGTTTATTGCTTATCTTAGAATTCCATTTTATTTGCCAATGGATATGTAAAGTGTTTGTTATTACTGTTTTTCTATCATTAATTTCAATGGTAAGCCGAAGATACAACGCAACTGTATATTCTAATACTTCAACACCTCATTCATTTCTAAAATCTTAATTAGTTTTCAACAATAATTAACCAAATTTTTTCACCGTCTGGCTGATGCTCGCGCGTAATTACTTTGATTTCAATGTTAACTTCTTAACAGATGGGCTCAATATTGTGAAAGCTCCTTATGTATTGAATTTCAGTAAAAATTTAAAATCTATCCATCAGCCGTTAAGTCACACAAACCACCTTGCGTATGATTTCGGAGCATTTTAGAATAGTAGGCAGCAGAAGTATTAAAACTATTTCCATATCTGTAGTGAGGTAAACCTAGTTATGATAGTTAATTCATCCACATGCTACTTTGCATGCTGTACTGTTTCTTCACGCACCTTTCGAGCCATAGCTAGAATATCGTATATATATATATATATATATATATATGGCATTGTTCAAAAATAGCAGGCTAAGTCATCGAAAATTGGTATGACAGTATGCGGTACCAAAGCATCGTTTTTGTTTTGTATAGCCATTTCAGAAAGGATCAAAAATAAATTTACATAATTACTATTATTTAAAAAATGCAAAACTATTTCAAATAACTTAACGTATAACTAATTAGTCAACACTACTTAAGACAACCGTCAACCTAATAAAATGAATAATAACTATAGTGTTGCCAATATATAGAGAAATGCCCGAGTTCATTGTGCCTCCTAGGAGAAATATAACTATACTAGGAGGCTTCGCCCCCTACTCGCTGGCGCTCGTCAACCCCAGGAACTGCTTTCGCAGTTCATTTCGGATTGCTTCGCAATCCAATGCTCGCTTTCCTCGCTCATTGGATACGTTCTTAACGTCTAGTTTTTGCATACTTTTTTGAATACTGAAGTTCCGAAAACTTTTCACTGTAGAAAATTCTAAACCTGTACATTTCAATATTAATTTGAAA